AACAACAACAGGAAGAGTCTTGAGTCCTGGTGTGGCGCTTTAGGATAAGCACTGGACTGCTAACTGCAAGATCGGTGATTCACACCCACCAGCACTCCCTGGAAACCCTATACAGGGTCACGATGAGTTGGAACCAAATTGACAGGACTTAACAACAACAACAAAACTAGTCAATATTCCTTTTGCCAAAACACAAATTTATCATAAAGGATCAACAAAACCAGGGAAACTCAACGAGATAGGCTGACATGTTAGTTCCAACAGTGGGCTCAAGTGTGAGGAGTGGGCAGAACTTAGCCATGCTTCATTCCACACAAGATTGTCCTAAGTAGGCACCAGCTGGATGGCTATGAACTAAACTAACTGCCAAAAACCTTTTGGTGAGTCTGCTCAACTCATGACACATATGTGTAATAATGGCTGTATTTGTACAACTTGGTCCTGTCCTTTTGGGCTCAGTTGATTGGACCAGATGTATTGTTGTTGTTGTTAAGTGCCTTGGGCTCATAGCGACCCTGGGGTATTTCCGAGTCTGTACATGTTTGTGGGAACAGGAAACCTCATCTTTGTCCTGTGGAGTGGCGGATGGGCTCAAACCATTGAACTTGGGGTTCAAAGTCATAGATCCCTGATAAAAGCTGGGCCATTCAAAATGTCACTGCAGTTCATCAGGAATTGGGTCTGAGAGAATGAAAATTTGATTGGTGTGGGACAGCCATTATATGCCATGTCTGAGAAGAAAAAAGAAAGTTTGTCTACAGAAAGAGTAAACCAACAAGTAGCTAACTGGAGGCAAGGGAAACCACATGGTCTGAGAGGCGAGACCTGAGAGTGTTATTGCCAGGGATCTACAGCTTCCCAGTCCCCTTCTAGTCCCTTCCACAGGCCTGGGTGAATTTTTTTCCTTGAGTTCCATAAAAAACCCTTGTACTTATTCCATACACCTACTTTCTTTCTTTCTTTTTTTTTTTGACTCTTAAGCTAACTGGAGTTCTGCCTTCATAAAATACCACAGATTTCTGTCCTTAACTAAGCCAAAAGGTTTCCAAAGGATAAACTCCCCAGATGATGTAGTTAATAAGGCAAAGCTGTCTACCCATAATCATGAATGCTCCCACAGACAGCAAGCAATACAACAGCCAAGACAGTATGTGGCATCTGGGGAGGGTACAGACCAACACCTCATTGTATGATGTGACAGGAGACGTCAGAGCAAGCTGGAGAAGTCCAGTGCAGATGAACTGGTAGAAAAAAACAACACCACTTCAGCTGTCTGCAAACACTGATACAATCCTGTATAGAATTCATTAAGCCCTTTGTTTCGTGGGTGAATGGCTCCCTCTGGGTGGGCAGAGGAATGATTTGATGGAGTGCTGGTGGCTCTGTAGGAAAAGCACTGGACTGTGAACCACAAGGTTGGCAGTTTAAACCCACCAGCCACTTCACAGGAGAAAGGTGAGGCTTTCTGTTCCCATAAAGATCTGCAGCCTTAGAAACGACAGAAGGTTGCTACAAGTTGGAATTGACTCGATGGTAGCAGCTTTTCTTTTTTTTAAAAAAATAAACAAACAAACAAACATTTGATTGTGAACTGAGTGAATGTCTCAGAGCAGATGATCAGATTTACATTCAACAAATCATACTCTTTGCTTCATTACAATGATTGTAATCCCCTCCATGTATAAACAGATAACAGTATTTACTTCTGTTTAACACAGCATTTCTCTCTGTGTCTTCCAGTACCTTCATCTTTCTTCTGCTAACCTCCCTCTTGTTGTATATTGCCTGCCCTGTCACCCATGTTAACATGTGTCTGCCTTCCAGCCTGGAGTGCTGGTGTGTTGCTGTGCTGGACTGCAAAGTCGGTTTGAACCGCAAAATCAGTGGTTCAGGCTTACCATTCACTTCTTGGAGACCCTATTCAGGGTCACCAGGGGTCGGAAGCGACTCGATGGCACTTAACAACAACAAGCTTCCAGCCCGTCTGTAATTCCTCACTCCCCATCACCAATTGTTTCTTTTATTAAGAAAAACTTTTCTTAACTTTTGACAACATTGATCTCACACGACATTTGTCCTTTTATGATTCATTAATTCCACTCAACATGATTTCCTCCAGGTTCATCCATGTTGT